TGTCTGTGTGAGAGATGAGGGGCTGAGCCAAGGCATTGGCAATGGGAATGGAGAGGAGGCTCAAGAACTTGAACTCTTTCTGAAACTTAGAGCTCCTTTTCCAGGGCTCTTGACACCACTCCAACCCTCTTCAGATGAACAGAATGTAACTCACCGAAGACTGGACATGCCATTCCTGCTCTCCCCTTCCTAAGTGCCTGTGGCCCACAGCTCTTCCTTTCCAGTTTAGGGTACAGCTTGGGACCACCTGTGGCTGAAGCTCTCAGAAGTCTCTTATCTCCCTCACTTGCTGCTTTCCTACTTTTGGTGACTAACGTGTCAGAATAGGTTAGAGAGCAGAGGTTATTGTTGTAGGTTGCTGTCTCCCTGCAGTATCTCCCTGAGCCATCTCCCCGCAATTGACAGCTGCTTAAGGGCAGTGATGCTGTTTTTTTGTTCTTCCCTGCACCCTCAGGCCCTAGAATGGGCAGAACAGAGTACATGTTCATGATGACTCTGGCCCCCAACTATGTGAAACATACCAGAGGTACTGGTGGCTGAAAAATTCCATCACAACGCTCCTGCCCAGCACTGTCTGAGGAAGGCTAATCTCCCTTAAGCATACTTCTTGAGTCACTCTCTGCTCTTAAACCTCCCACGGCTTCTCATTTCCCCTTGAACTCATCTTCTTAGCTTTTAAGGTCAATTAATCCCTTCACTCCATATTTCCCCAGTAGATACCTCTGCTCTCAACAGACAGAGGCTTGTTCAGACAGAAACATGCCTTGTTAAGGTCTGCTTCTGATTCCTAATACTACTGTGGTGATCCTCTGTCCAGAGGCCATCCTCACGTGTCCCTCTGTTGGTCCAGAATCAAGGACATCCTTCAGATCTCAGAAACCCACCCAGTCCTCCCATATGATTCCAGCCCTCGGAGATCTCCCTGTGGCTAAACCTTGGCACTTCCAGCATGTCCTTAGTAGCTGGGGCAGTTGGACTTGTATTTGCTGTTTTGTGCATCTTCATCTCCTCAACTGGTATTGGAAGCTGCTCGAGGGTTGCTGTCTCAAGGGTAACTGATACATTTCCAGACATGTAGGTCTCACGAAAGTGTATTAGAGGACTGTCATAAGACAAAACTACTTCTATGACCCCCATCTTATCAGGCAATGGCATTGTCCCTTCTACAAATGTTTGTATATAAGCAATGCTGAGAAAGAAGTAGCTCTCTGAAATGGCAACTCCAAGACTTCATTGAAATTTTTGGTATCTCTTGGTCAATCCTGCTGCTGTTACTGAGTCACCACTCACTTGTGGTGATTCTAAACCTCATTTTATGATTCACATTCTAAAAATGGGGTGAGGTTTTTACCATGAAACTAATTCCAGTATGAACTTAACCTCACAATTATTGAGTTCTTCTGTGGGTTTCCAGCTGCTAGCACAGCACTTTTCAAGGTCTAATTTCTTTTTTTTTTTTTTTTTTTTTTTTTGAGATGGAGTTTCGCTCTTGTTACCCAGGCTGGAGTGCAATGGCGGATCTCGGCTCATGGCAACCTCCGCCTCCTGGGTTCAGACAATTCTCCTGCCTCAGCCTCCCGAGTAGCTGGGACTACATGCGCATGCCACCATGCTCAGCTAATTTTTTGTATGTTTAGTAGAGACGGGGTTTCACCATGTTGACCGGGATGGTCTTGATCTCTTGACCTCGTGATCCACCCGCCTTGGACTCCCAAAGTGCTGGGATTACAGGCTTGAGCCACCGCGCTCGGCCTCAAGGTCTGATTTCTTGCAGCTTATTGGTTGTGGTTCTTCTGTGGCAAATACCTAAAATCCATTATATGGACTTACTGTGTGGAATATGATAGGGGGTTCCACGTGATAAATTTGTTCCACTAGTCTTCATTGGGACTACTTATTATCTGTCACCAGCCCATGTCTGGTCTGGGACAAGTGAAGGAAGGATAGATAAATCTTTAGGGCTCTTTTTTCATTCATACAGTCTGAGGAATGGTCTTGGTTCCTTGGCAAGACTTCACCTATATCTATAATAAAGAGGATTTGGAATCTGCCTTCTGGGTGCTATTGGTGGGCACGGAACTCTACTTAGCATTTAGAACTTCTTGAACAATGACTAAAACCAGAATGTGCAAATGACAGAAATGGGATGGTTTCAGGAAACCTGCATTCTCGTCCCAAGGCTTCTGCGAACAAGTTGTGCAACCTTGGGCGAGTTATTTAACAAGAGCGACAGTGATGGCAATGGCTAACATTCACAAAGGGTTTGGAATGGAGCTTGGGGCATAGTAAGTCCTCTATAAGGTCACCTGCTGTTTTCATTGTCATTGTCACAGAGGTTTTATTACATCCAGTCCTGAGTACTTGGTATGCGTGATCTCATTTAATCCTCAGAATTATGGAGTGAGTTTTATTATTCTTGCTGTACAAGAGTGAACTGAAGCTTGAAGAGGTTGAATTATGAGTCGAAGACTGTATAAGACTGAAATCCAGGCAGCCTAACTCCTGGGCCCATGATCACAGTCTCTGTTGGTGCACTTGATTTCTTTGGGCCTTAGTTTTCTCGTAATGCCTGAAGTTATTGGTCTTTAAAACCTTCCAGTTTAAAATTTTTAGATATTTTCCCCTTACCTTCACCTTCCTCTCCTGTTCCCTTCTTTGCCCCACTTAGAATTTTGCTGGGTTCATCATCACGGGATCACTAGGATGTTTCCCCCACTGAGTGATGACGCTGCGTGTGTCAGCATAGGGACTTGTATTGTGGTTTTTTTTGGAGGGTGCAGTGGGGCTGTTTTTTATGCTGCTGTCATTGAGAGAGGAGGAATCTGACTCTTCAATTTTATTGCCTTATCTTGGCACACAGCCATTACTACATTGGGTAATACACATTTGACAGGGCTTGAGAAAGGCATCATAGGCAGAAGCCTGTGGGAATCAGCTCTATGTGCTTGTGAACTCTGCGCTGCTCTCTGGTAAGATCTGGTTGGGATACCTGCACTGTCCAGGCTATTTGCATATGTCTGGTCTTGTGGTTGGCAAGGATCTTAGGAGACGGACTTGGAGAAGAGGCTTCTGGGCTTTCCATTCTTTATATAGCTTGGGGTATCCTGGCAAACTTTCACATGGGGAGTTTCCCAGGACATTTCATCACAGTTCCATTGTAATTGATATTTGTAAACAACTTAAGTTGGGTGATAGTCTATATTATCTGTATTCTATTGTACTTTTTTGTGGCTGTGACCATAGGGTTAGAGTGTTTTGGCTGCAGAAGACCTGGGCTTAAGGGTTGGATCTATACTTCTTAGTATGGTGCATCTAACACACCTACTTGTTTTGGCTTCTACTTGATTACTTTGGGTGAGATCTTATTATGAAAAAAGTCTGTTAACCACTGTGCTGAGATTTGTAAACTCTTCCACTTGGAAGCCTGGAGGAAGCATTTTAAGAACCTTAGAGTACCAAAAGGGCCTAGAAACACTAAAAGTGTTAGGTAAGTCACTTAATTTTTCTCAGCCCAAATTTCTTTATCCATGGAAGAATTATAGTATTATGTGTCCTACTCAACAAAATGGCTATTGAATCAAATGAAGTATGGCATGAAAATGTGTTTCTGAAAATTATAAATTCTATATAAACATTAGTTGTTTTTAGGAAGCATCATGTGCCAAAACTAATTGTTTTAAACACCAAAAAAGAAAAGCTATTAATGTTTCTACTGATTTTGTCATGTGTAGACTATTTACTGGAGATGATAACCTGTAGTAAAGTTTCCTAAACTTTTCACTGTGCACCAATTGGAAGGCTACGAGTTAAGTTGTTCTAGAAACTATCTGAATATTGTATGTATTAAGTTAATAAGAACTGATATTGTTCAAGGTGTATAGCAGCTCTTTTGTGGAAGCACATTAATTTTACATAAATTCAGATTTTATTAATTTATCATTAGATCAAGAGCTAGATTCAGGTTGTAAAAAGATATTAATAGCATAAACAAAACTATGTCAATTAAGAATCTTTCTGTATTCTTAGAACATCATTGCAGTGGGAGCAAAGGCTAGACCATTATATACTAATTTAAATAGGTCTAGATTGAAAATGTTTCTCTAACTCACATTTTTCACTAGCACAGATATTCCCTATCCTCTTACTCCAAATGAACAAGATTACTTTATTTGTATTTTCCTTGATTGGTAAACCATGCTTGGTGATACCATCTGGAGATTGTTGGGTTTCTGCCAAAGATTTTAATCAGGCTTGCAAAGAGTTACCTGCCTAAGGCAAGAAACTGTACTAATTTAATAGAAAAGAACTTGCTTTTATTTTGCCATCTGGTAAGAGAAAGTGAAAGCATTTTGAAAAGTTTTAATATTTGTTTTATAATGATAGTATTATAGATGACATTATTTCTTTTTTTTTCTTTCTTTCTTTTTTTTTTTTTTGAGACGGAGTTTCACTCTTGTTACCCAGGCTGGAGTGCAATGTCGCGATCTCGGCTCACTGCAACCTCCGCCTCCTGGGTTCAGGCAATTCTCCTGCCTCAGCCTCCTGAGTAGCTGGGATTACAGGCACGCGCCACCATGCTCAGCTAATTTTTTGTATTTTTAGTGGAGATGGGGTTTCACCATGTTGACCAGGATGGTCTCGATCTCTTGACCTCGTGATCCACTGGCCTCAGCCTCCCAAAGTGCTGGGATTACAGGCTTGAGCCACCGCGCCCAGCCTAGATGACATTATTTCTAAAATATAATAGTTAGGGAAATTAGAGAATCTAATTGCTGAAATTTGTGTAATTTTTTACAAGTGTGATATGAAGCCTTATCTAGAGACCTTTATGCCGAAGGCAGATATTTTAGTATAAAAGGTGAGGGTACGACAGGAAAAGAGAGAAGTAAGGCAAGTTGGAAACCACCCCAGACCTTTTTGTGGGCAGTGCTAAAAACCTGTGTGGATCCAGTTTAATGTTATGGTTATCCTTTTAACCTTTTTGTTTGTTTGTTAAACAGATTTCTGCTTGGCAGATTAACCAACAGCAAGAGGGGCTGATCTGTCTACATTCTGAGTACTGCCTTTGGCAAGCCACTTCTTACAGACCCTGGACCCAAGTCTACCTGACTACCCCTACCCCAGCCCGCCCCAGACAGTATTCTGGGGTTCACCTGAGGTCAGCAGTGTGAAGATGACCAGTGCCTTTTTAGCATGACGACTTTGGACCATGTGATTGCTACCCACCAGTCAGAGTGGGTCTCCTTCAGTGAAGAGCCACCCTTTCCTGCCCACTCGCAGGGTAAGGAGTGCCTTCATTTCCTAAAGTGAAGAGACTGTCACAGAACCATGTCTGTTTGTTATGGCTTCTACTTGATTATTCTTTGGGTGGGATCTTAATATAGAAAAAAGAGTCTGTTTCTCACTTTCTTGAGATGTGTAAGTTCTTCCACTTAGAATTCTAACTGGAAGCATCTTGGGAACCTTAGGGCCCTAAAAAAGAGGCCTGGAAACACCAAAAGTATTGGCTCTTTTCTCCCAAGAAGCAAAGACTTAATATTTACAAAGTGCTTTACTCCCAGCCTTTTAAAAGTGTAGTTGTTAAAAGTGACAGACTCTGGAGCTACAGTGCTTGGGTTCAAATCCTGGTTGCCCCAGGAATGAGTGATATGCTTTTGGGTAGACTATTTAACTTTTCCATGCATAGTTTTGTTATCTGTTTAGTATGGATAATCTGTACCTATCTCACAGGTTTAAGTGAATTCATACATAAAAGTGCTTAGAACAGTGCCTAGCATGTGGAAAGAGCTCAGGACAGTCATCCTTGCTCATAAGGAGGATGACTATATTGACTTTGGGGAACTCATGTTCAGGGATGAAGGTCAAGGTAGGATCCAGGACATACTTGCAGAGACATGTCAATTGATTCTGTTCTACTGTAGCTACCAGAGCAAACTGAAGTCATCCCAGCTTCATTTATAACACCTAGAAAATGTGAGTCTGCAGGTATGTGCTCCAATATGGTGGCCATTTGGTTATTGAGCCCCTCAAATGTGACAAGTCTGAATTGGGATGTGCTGTAAGCATAAAATACCTACACGAAATTTCAGAGACCTAGTTTTGAAAATTAAATAGCTCATTAATAATTTTTATAGCAATTACATGTTGAGATTATAAATTTTCAACATACTGGGTTAAATTATATATTATTAAAAATACATTCTCCTGTTGGGTTTTACTTCTTTCATGTGGCTACTAGAAAATTTAAAATTACATGTGTGGCTGACCTTGTATTTCTGTTTGACAGTACTACAGAGGCTTTGAATATTTGTAGATGGACCAGTTGGGTAGTGATAAGAGAAAAGATTTTTATATGAATTATTTGATTAAAAAATTATACCAAAAAATGGACTTCTTTTGGTGTACAGCTGATGAATTTCAGCACATGTATGGATTTATATATCTACCACCATAATCGGGATATAGTTTTTTTTTTTTAATTTTCAAAAAACATTTTGAAGGCTGTTAAATTTTCTAGGCTCAATCAAGTGATAAAGAGCTACAGGAAGAGCCTCTGTGTCACATTCAGCTGGTCATTAGTGCACACAGGTTTGCACCCGGGGTCCTGTGGATGTGTATAGCTTAGACTGCAGAGAGTTTGAAATTTGAATTTGAATGTCTCCAGACAGAAGTTCTCCTGTTCAGCTGCAGTTCCCACCAGTCCCCAAAATTTTGTTTGTCACATGTCCCACTTGACTCAGGTATATTTCTTACTTGCCCTCTGTAAGCACTTTCTTTATGACCCCCTTTGTGAGTAGATGCTGGGATAGAATAGTGAAGAAGACTGCTAGTCTCTGCCTGCCAGGATACTGACTGGAGACATGCTGTGTTCATAGCCTTTACACATGATTAGGGAAACAGTCATTTCACATGGAGTCAGATGGTTTTGGCTCTTTCTTATCCCCACCCATTGCAGTGGCGAGTCCTGCAGGTACCCCATGGCCATCCTTAGTTTTTGCCTCCATGAGATGGATCTGAAGAGCAGCCTTCCTCCCATGATGTTGGTGTCCGGTATCTGTTTCAGAGGGCACAGAAGAGCACCTCCCAGGATTGTCATCTTCCTCAGACCAGTCCGAGGGCTCCTCTGGGGAGAACCATGTGGTGGATGGAAGCTCTCAAGACCATTCCCACTCGGAGCAGGATGACTCCTCTGAAAAGATGGGCCTCATCTCTGAAGCAGCTTCCCCACCTGGGAGCCCTGAGCAGCCCCCACCTGACCTGGCCTCAGCCATCAGCAACTGGGTTCAGTTTGAAGACGACACACCCTGGGCCAGCACATCTCCACCTCATCAGGAAACAGCCGAGACAGGTGAGAGGGCAGGAAGGGTCAAGCTTGGGTATATGCTCAGCAAGGATGCTTTTCAGTGAGAGGTTGTGGGGCTGCCAGAATTCCATTTCACCTGCCCTCTCACCTTGAAGTACCGGTTACATGAGGAGAGCAGACAGAGTTCTCATCTGGTTTAATTCTGTAACTCGTTTTTGTTGACATAAGCAAACAAAAGAATTTATGTATTCTAGGACATTTCCAAACTTTTACCCTTGTCCCTGGCTGTTGATTTCTCTTTAAAATGATGCATATATATATCTATATATCTACTGAGATTGGAATTATATTTACTCAGCCTCTAAATTGTAAGCTTCTTGCATATAGAAATGAATGTGTCTGTTGGGCGTGGTGGCTCATGCCTATGATCCCATCACTTTGAGAGGCCCAGGTGGCTCACTTGAGGTCAGGAGTTTGAGACCCACCTGGCCAACATGGAGAAACCCCGTCTCTACTAAGAATATAAAAATTAGCTGGGCATGGTCGTGCACTTCTGTAATCCCAGCTACTCAGGAGGCTGAGGCACAAGAATGGCTGAACCTGGGAACAGAAGTTGCAGTGAGCTGAGATCATGTCACTGCAGTCCAGCCTGGGTGACAGATATAGTGAGACTCTGTCTCCAAAAACTAAAAAATAAAAAAAGAGAAATGAATGTGTCTGAAAGTGTGGACCACTGACCATATCTAACAAAGTCACCAATAGGATTTGTTAAACATGGATATTCTCACACTCTAGAACTCTTGAATTCAAATCTTCATGGGTAGGGATGGTTGTTCATGATAAATCTTTGTGGCATTTCAATGGCCAGAGGCTGCACGGGGCAGCTTAGTAAAGCTGTAGGAGTTGTTAGTCCCCACCTTGGTGACCTGGCTACTTTGTTGTGCATTGAAGCCACAGGTGATTGGATAAGCTTTGGGACTGTGTTAGTTTTCTGTCTGCTGCTGTAACAAGTCATCACAAGGCTTAAATAACATGAGTTTATCGTCTTACTATTATGTATTTCAGAAGTCCATCATGGGTGTCACTGGGCCAAAATCAAGGTGTTGGCAGCGATGTGTTCCTTTCTGGATATTCTAGGGGAAAGTCTGTTTTCTGACCCTTTCCAACTTTCAGAGGCTGTCAACATTCCTTGGCATGTGGCTCCTTCCTCTGTCTCCAAAGCCAGGAATGTGGCATCTCTCTGTGCCTGTCTTCTGAAGTCACATCTTTCTTTGAATTCTGCCTCTGTCTTCCATTAAGGGCCTCTGGTTACACTAGGCTCACTAGGATAATGTCCCCCATCTCAAGGTCCTTAAAATAATCACATCAGTAAAGTTTCTTTTGCCATATAAAATAACATATTCACAGGTTCTAGAAATCAAGATGTGGACATCTTGGGGTGGAATGGGAGGCATTATTCTGTCTACCACAGAAACCTACTGGCAAAAAGCAGCGTTGGTATATTTTTCTCTTGGTGGGTTAAATGTTTTGCTAGTGTCACTTTGTAAGGCCATTTCCTTTGTTTTTCAGTGTGTTTTTAATACCAATAAAAATGATTTTAAGAAATATAAAACATAATTCTCTAACAAACATATTTTTATACAGTAATTTGCACATTTATGTATACTTTTTCATATTTAAACATCAGATACCCTTTTTTTTTTTTTTTGAGATTGAGGCTTACTCTATCACCCAGGCTAAAGTGCAGGGGTGCAATCTTGGCTCACGGCAACCTCCGCCCTTGGGGTTCAAGTGATTCTCATGTTTCAGCCTCTTGAGTAGCTGGGATTACAAGCACCCACCACCAAGCCCAGCTAATTTTTGTATTTTTAGTAGAGACAGGGTTTCGCCATGTTGGCCAGGCTGGTCTCAAACTTCTTGACATCAGATCACACCCACGTCGGCCTCCCAAAGGGCTGGGATTTCAGGCATGAGCCACTGTGCTCAGCCTAAACATCAGATTTCTGCATGAATTGTTGAGAGTCATGACTCTCAGTGCAGCATGGAAGAAGTGACAGGTCCAGACAGGCTTCCCTTACTGAATACCTAACTCTGACAAGGCTCTGGGCTAAGTGTGGATGCATGTAGGGAAAAGTTACCAAACATTGGGCAGTGAATCAGCACAGAAGTATGTTCCTTCTGCTTAATATGATACATTTACTGCATACTTCTTGTCTCCGTTTCTGTGCTCAGTGCCTTAGCTATATCTTCTTGTACTCATTACAACAATTGTATGAGGAAGGTATCAATATTAATCCATATTACACATGGTGGAGGAAGCTCAGCTAGACAGTTCTTTGGGGATTCAAGGTTGTGTGCTAGGAAATGGCAGGAGAGCTTCTGCACCAGAACCACTGACCCCAGTGTCTTGGAGTGGCCTAGGGATGCACGCTTTCCTTCCGTTTGCCTCACTCTTCCTGCAGCTGCTGCTGCTGCTACTGCTGCTACTCTAGTATGCTCAGCCCCCTCATTACCCAGGAGGTAGTGGGGGTAAGGAATGGAAGGTAAGTGATGGTGGGGTGCTCTTTCCCCACTCTGCTTCCCTAAAATGGCCATGCCTTCAGGTCATGCATTATATTCATGCCATTCAGATTCTTTTACTTCTTGTTTGTGTTTGTACCTTATCTTTAGCCCCAAAGATTTCCTGATTGCTCAAAACTATTTATATGACAGTCAGTTCCCTCAACCCTTCCTGATTTTTGCAAAACTAATTTTGAGATTAGTCATAATTATGTTGCCCCCATCTGACTGAGGATCTTATCTTGTGACTGACAGTTCTTTTGATATATTGTGAAAGCTTTACCCTTTAAGGCAGCAATTCACAGTGTGGCCCATAGACCTTGGTCTCTCCTAAGACCCTCTCAAGGAGTCTTTGGGATTAAAATCATTTTCCTTCTAAGATGTTATTTGCCTTTGCACTGTATTGACATTTGCATTGATAGGGTAAAACTTTTGGCCATTGTTTACCCACAGTAAAAACAATGCCTATTTTGCCCAACAATGCCCTTGATGAGGCAGTAAAAATGATTAATTTCTTGAAATGGTGATTCTTGAGTATGTTATTAACATTCTCTGACAGACTGGGAAAAATACATGAAGCACTTTTGCTCCATATTAAATTGTAATAATTGTTCTGAAAAAAGAGGTTTTTTTTTTTAATTTTTAAGAATTCAGTTTAAAAGTTAAACTTATTTTACAATTATTATTAAAAATCAAATAATGCAAAAAGTTCTTTATGAACAAAATATTAGTATTTTAAAGACAAGATCCAATTAACACTTGCATGACTATGCCACACCTGCCCAGCCTTATCTTGTGCCTGGTGTTACAGGACTTTTCCTAAAGTTCAGCTAAAGATGGGGTCCTTGTCCATCCCACAGTCATGAAAATTCAGGCTTGCCCATGGTTTGAAGGGTAAGTAAAGCAGGGTTTTATTGGGTGAAAGGGAAAACAGAGGGAACAGGTACTCTCAGCAAGGCCAGAGTTTAGAGTGTTTCCCATCGCAGCTGGGATCCCAGGTTCCACTCAGGAAGAGGAGGGGCCCGGCTCTTTCCCGCTGCAAATGGCACAAACTTATGTGGCTCCACCCCAGTGCACAGGCCAGTTGGAGTTTCTCTGGGGACCCCCTCCCTACTGGCTGTCTTACTGGTTCTAATAAAACTTTACAGAAATAGTCAACGTGGGCCAGGCATGGTGGTGCCCACCTGTAAACCCAGCACTTTGGAAGGCTGAGATGGGCAGATCATGAGGTCAAGAGATCAAGACCATCCTGGGCAACATGGTGAAACCCCGTTTCTACTAAAAATACAAGAAATAGCCAAGCGTGGTGGTGCTTGCCTGTCATCCCAGCAACTCAGGAGGCGGAGGCAGGAGAACCGCTTGAACCTGGGAGGAAGAGGTTGCAGTGAGCCAGGGTTGCACCACTGCACTCTAGCCTGGCGACAGAGCGAGACTCTGTCTCAAAACAAACAAACAAACAGAAATAGTCAGCCTGTGAGCTGTAGTTTGCTGCTTTGATTTTGATTTGATATTATCAAAATATTGTAAATATTTTGTACATTTGTACAAACATTCGTATTACAGTGTTATTTTGATTACTGAGTTTTTGGCATTCCCTTAAATTTTCCATCCAAGGCAAGTCCTAAGTCTAATGCCAGCCCTCTATTGTCCTGAGAATGAAAGATTTATTAATATTACTAGAGAATAAATCAAGAAGTGACAATGTTCAAATGCATGAAAACATAATTTTGTCTTGAAAACTGCTCAAGTATGAATAATTCCATATGTTTATATGTGCGAAAATTTCACACAACTCTGTAGAGATGGAGTTCTTTGCCTTAGGAGGGTCCTGTAGGATGGGCTCTCAGCAGACTTGATGCCCAGTCTATAGGCAAGAAGCAGAAATAAACCATGCGTAGGACCAGCCCCACCTCAAGAAGTGTTTCTAACCTAGAAACCCAAGAAGCACAGGGAATGGTGCGCAGCATTAGGGTGGGAAAGAAAATGGTAAGAAATCCAAGGGTCCAATTCGAAATTTTCTGCCAATACGCAACTTGACCCGTCAGTGAACCTACACTGAATCAAAAGCTGCAGAGTACATTCCTATTACCCAAACTAACGTCTCTCACGTAAACTAATTCCTTCATGGGTTTGCTCCCATGGATGTGTTTAACAATAAGGATAGAGTCATTGGCAGAGCTAAGGCCAAGTGATAAACAGGAGAGACTATGCGTTAGAACCCCCCACCACCACATCATGGATAATGTAGACATTCCAATTAGATAGTCATTTCATTCTGGAGGCTGTTGTGCAGCTCAGATTTTAATTTGAATTCAAAATGTTTGGATACATGTGCTGTATATTGCAATAATACCCCGTATAGTAACTGTAGGCATTACGCAGAAATCACACAGATATGTGCAGCAATAGAGACAGAGGGACACTTGCTGCAATTGCTGTTGCCTGCTCTGTTCTTTCGGTAATACTAAGCTGAATAATGACTCCCA